ATATTGTACTTAATAATTACAATAATTATAAATTTTGATGAAGAAGACTTTATTATATATAATATTAGAAGCCCGACTATGGTGTGATCAATTATATAACTAATAAAATTATTGTTCAATTCAAATGGTTCATAACTTGAATAAAAACTAAAAAATAAAAACACGAGATATAATACATATAAGTAAATAAAAGTTAACTTAGCCATAAGTCATTAGTTATTTTAATGAAAAAACACTCCAGTAAAAAATTTAACATGGGTGTCTTTCGAATATGGAATGGTCATTCTAAATAATTTTTATTCAAAATCGAATATAGACATGGTTTTATAAGGTTTCGTTAAAATTGTCTACAACTTTTGCTAAAAGACACTGCTAAAAATTGATATTCTATAAGACCCCAGGGTTTAAAAAATACCGAGTAATGAATATTTCAGTGCTCTTCAACTTACAAACCATGGAGGTGTAGCAAACTATATTTACTTTACTTTGTAGAAATGCAATATTGCAGCAGGAAAAGTGACACAGTCTTGCAACTTTGATCTTATTGGATAAATTGGAACGGCCCTTGATTTGAAAACGTTTAAGATCTCTTATTTATGAATTATGTATATTGTGCACATTTAGTATATACAAGTTTTAATGATTTCAATGAAGAAATACTACGCTTTATTAAAAACAATTGAAATATTAAAATGTTCATAATATAATATTTGACTTTAAGGTTATTAAAAAAACAATAAAAAATAATAAAAAGCATGTTAAGTAATAAAAAATAATGAAGAGTGTTCACAGAGTTTTCTTTTCGGTAACACAATCGTTATAAGCACTTTATATAAAGGTTATCGTAAATTAGTTTCAAAAAAATGTCAGAAGAAATTAAACAAATATTTTAAGTTAAATTGTATGATATTGAGTACTTTAACACAAAAATGTTTTGTAATGACGAATTTTAAGATTTATTTTAAGTAGTAATTTTTTTTTTTTTGAGAATTTTGTTTATATTTATGGTAGCAATAAACTATTGATGGCATTCATAAGAAGTTCTTTAAAAATTTTGATGGTCAATTATACTTGTTGACGTCATATTTTTTAAGGTTACGGTAATAATAATTTTAATGTTTGCGAATATAGTGGTACAACAATTAGAATATTTTTTTGATCCATCTGTATTTCTGCAATTCATTGAAATAATTGCATGCATATTATGTATGTGTGCAATACTTAGAACGTAAAACTTAGGTCACAATATAAAAAAGTAAGAACATAATGTATACAAATAAAGGAATTGTTTGTATTTGTAACGGTATCCTTATTATGTTTGCTTATATATACATACATATACAGACATACAATTAAATTTCACATATGTTCACTTTGTAAATTATAAATTATTATCCGAAATCGTTTTAGGTTCACATCTGGTAATGAGTATTTTTTTAATTACGTATAGTGATTAGTTATTGATTTTTCGTGTTCCGATCACTTGTAAATTTAAAATTTGCTCGAAAATTTATTATAATTTTTATTTTAATATTTAATAAGAATTTATAAAAAACATAACCAAGTAGGTATTCTAAATTAAAAAAATATTTTTAAATAATATTTGAGTAACAAAGGTAGTCATGAGTTGAAATTAATTAAATTTATTTTTAATTTTAAAAAATAATGCCAAAAAATTTATTCATATATGAAGAACTTAGAGTCTAGGATTTTCCCTTATAAGAGTGAACATACATATGCAAGAAGAAATAGCAATAAAATCCAGGAAATTCTAATTGGAAAAATAAAATCAGAAAACAGAGAGCTCCAGAATAATACATAAAAATGTAAATGAACGTTATGTACGATACGTAGGCAAATATCTATTTTTAACAAGAAAATATTCGAATTGTCTTAACAATGAAATTAATATAATTTTTAAAGGAAACAAAACAGAACCAATGGTCATATTATTACTGTGTTATTAAAAGATGCTTATTATGCGTATTGTATTGCAGCTATAATACCCGTAGTTTTTACAAATGCAGCTTTATTTTATAGTAAATTTTATAAAGTCGTTTTAATACATACACTTTGAATCCCTATTTAAATGTAAGTATGTATATATATTGTGTGTTTGGAAAATAATACAAATATCTGCGACTGAAAATATTCATTCATAGAACCAAAAATTTTAAAATTTAATGAATATATACTTTATTCCAAATTAATTTGAAAACTATTTCATTCATGAACCCAAAATTTTATTATTGTGCTCCATATTTTGCTACAGAACCACTATAATACTGCATTGCTACACAATTCAGCAATTAGTACTCATAAGCTGAATTGTTTATTAATATATTTTATTATTGCAATTTAAAATTCCGGGTATTTTTTTAAGAGGATTATTTACATAATAATTAAAAAAAAATTTGTATTTTATTAGAATTATTTTAATAAATGATAATTTAACCTTGTGAATGATAATTGTATCATTTAGTGCATTGTGATCTTTAATAAATTGTTATTTATTATTATTATATAAAACTAAATCAAATACATAACTATATTAAGTTTAACAACAAACAATACATTTTGAAAAATGACTCAAAATTATTCATTTCTAAATTATCTGTGATTAATCATTACCATAATTATAATTTTTTCTTGTTATTTTATTAAATATGTAATTTGTTTTAAATGTGAAAAAAAGTATGGTATATAAGTATATAAAATTTTAATGCATTATTTGTCATAATTTTCGTTCGTTACGGAAATATCAAACAATTAATTGTAATTTTAGTTTTCTATATTGTTAGAATTTTTTTTGTCCAGAAAGGTGTGTGCTTTCAAGTAATTATACTTAACTATTAGTTTTACGTGTAATAAAAATTATACATATACATACATACTTATATACATATGAATATTAAAAATAAATTCATAAAAGGGCGGATTTATTCATAAACGAATCAGTACAGAAATAATACTTTTCTTCTATTTTAAATTTTATGAAAATTTTTTTTAAAATTTTTTAATTTTTGTCGTAAATAAATCATTAGTTTTTGGAATATGTAGCAAATATGAGCTCATTTTATTTCATTTAAAAACTTGCTAGTATGTTTACTCGCTTAGAATAGCAATATAAACATTTATTTGTATATTTACATATACTTTAGTACATTATTCGATATTGGAATCTGTGATCTGTTTGCAAATGTTGTACTTTTGAACATTCTTTTGATTTTTAATTCATAAAAAATAAGTAATTCTTTTCCTATACATAAAAGGTGATTTTTTATATTTGACTTTTAAATTTATGAAAAAACACAAAAAGATCGTAACTTTTCACATAATTTTAGCTCATCACGTAATTAAATCGATAAATCAATCATTGGCATTTATTTTTTAAATAAAATTTAATCAAAGTGTTTTGCGATAATTATGTGCGTTTACGATTAAATACAAATCTAAAATGAAAATAGTTTGGTAAAATGGTAAAGACATCGAATTTTTTGTACATGGTGAAAACACACGTGAAGCAAAAAAAACACCCTATGTATATACGTGCATATGATGTATATCGATTATTATTAGTAATGAATTCAATAAATAGAAGTATTATTTTTTTTTAAATATTTAAAATTTATTTATTTACTATAGTAAATATTTAATTAGAAAATAAAATGCTGTCAAATATTGTTTAATCATAAAAATTTAAAGTAGTTCAAATTAAGATTTTCAAGTGATCGGTACAGATTAATATTATTGCCTCGAGTTAACAAGTATATACATACTTGTAAATCTTTTACGATATATTATTTAAGTGTTATTAAAATTATTTAATTCTTGTTGAAATGAAGTAGGTTTGTATATGTATTTTCATTTAAAAGCGGAGTAACATATACGTATGTATATATATAACAAACACTTGAGTATAGGTTAATGTAAGGCTATAGCAAGTTAATTTTTGAGTACTAAACATAATTTGTAAAAGAATAATATTATTGTTATTTGTTTTGAAAAGAATTGAAATATCGTAAATTCAATTCTATAAAAATAGTTTTAATTAATGAATTTTAGGGAGTTTTCATTTGGAAATTCAACAATTTGTTTATAATTCTATAACTGAATTGCTGAATTTTGTTGTGGTATAGTATTACCACAATTTATATGTCAGAGTGTAAGCAAATTATTTAATCTACATTTAATAAATACAACTTGAGACCTTGTAGTAAAAGTGCGATAACAATTTTCAAACTTTTACTTTTTTCTTTACCCAAAATAATAATACTAAGATTTTAATTTTGTATATGGTTTCAATAATTTACAATTTTTCTTTGATTAAACATTTAATACAGTTTGACCCTATTAAAATTGTTCCACTTAGTTTTTGAACTAAATAGTAGTATAAAAGCAAAAAAAAAATTAGCGAGTGGGTGATAAAATAAAAAACACAATTTTTTGTTGTAAGGCGTCTAATATTAATCATTTGAACAATTAATAACTTTTTTTTTATCAAATCTAACCTTGTGAAAAATATTTGTAAAAAATTGTTTTAGAATTATTTAGTTAGAATTTAGATACAGATTTAAGTATAATATTTATTTTTGTATAATTTGAAAGCAATTTTAAAATGAATTGTGATTTCATTTACAATCAGTCGCATTTCGAGCATTTTATTTTACTGATAAAAAACAAAATTGCAGCCATATTGTATTCTTATAAAATTCAGTTAGTTACAACTCATTAGCTGAATTGCATAATATTAATACCATTATTACTTATTGCAATTTTGAAGTCAGTGAATATTTTGTTCTGTCAGGGTTATGACAAATAGTTTGAAGGTTGTTTTTAAAATTTAGTTATTTTTAAAACTTAAATTTTTGTTACCTTAAGTTAATATTGAATTTCTAGAAATGCATACCTTATTTACATTTTAAAAAATTTTTAATTCATAAGATTTTCGATTGATTTTTGGCAATTAATTTGTACAATATATTTTTTTTTCATTTCAGATAAAAATTTTATTTTTTATTGAGTAAAAATGAAGGATTTTAGTGTAGGGGCGTATATTGAGGAGGTGGCAAAAACACATACAAAACCTTCTTCACATAATAAAAATTTAAATTGTGATAGTAATTTTAATACGGGACTAGAAGATTTCGGTGATAAATTTGATGAAATAGATTATGATAAAATTGATTCAAATGAAGTTGGTTTTCCAAAACGAGAAGCTGTTGATATCGAATTTCAAAATTTAAAATATAGAGTACGAAAATTTTCATTTCAAGAAAAAAAATTTGGTAAGTACAACTTCTTAGGGTTTTTTTAAAAAAAAATATATTTTGAATTGACAAAAACAATATAGTTAATCCTTACATGGATTGGAATTGGAAAATTTTTTTATTATTACACAATTCAGCAATTAGGATTTATAAGCTGAATTGTGTTTTGATATAGTATATTTTTGCAATTCCAATTCGAATTCTGAATTCTAATTTCTTATGCAATTCATTTGTAACGTGTGAATAGGAATATTTAGCTAATGATAATGTTGTTGTTTTAAGGATTTAAATTTTTAATTAAAATTATAAATTAATTAATATTTTTTTTTGTCTTTTGATTTCAACTTGAAAAATTAGATAATATTTTAGTTACCATGTAATTTTTTAATTAAATTTAAATCCAGATTTTTATAGATAATTGCAATATACAACGCAAAAATAAAAAATTTTTGTAACGTTCCGACGTAATTTCAAATTCTTATCATGATCTAAAAAATGCTCGTTCCAAGTAATTTGTGCTTAATAAGGGAATATTTGTGTAATAATGTTCACGCTATCATTATTATTTGCGATAAGAGCTTTCAGTAACGTACATTGAATTGATAATTTTTTGTTTTTGTATAAATATGAAGATGTGCAACACTAATTAGTCACATGTTACATCATTTTATTAATGCAATAAACATTATTTAATTAAAATACCTGCAAAATAGTGAGGATTAAAAATATTATTTCAAAATAATAAAGTTCGAAAGATCAAAGTCTTTATACGTGGCACATGTTTAATATGATAGAAATGTATTTTTTTTCTAGGAACTACATGGTATTATTTTATTTTAAAAGTTTTTGTAAAAAATATAATTTTCTTACATTTTATAGAAATAAAATGAAAGTACATACATATTGATAGCTTAACACTAAGATTAAGAACAATAAATATGAACATTGATATGATTAGTTATTAGTATTTGAGTTTGAGCTTGGCTCCCAGTATTTATTTTTTTTTTCTTATTTCTCATTTATGTACTCTTAGGGTTAAGATGTACGAACTGAAAATATCACAAATGAAATAGTTTATATAAATACTTATTCGAATTTCAAGTGTAACTTACCTGTTTGTATTTTATAAGCATAACATAAACGCTAGTAAATTGAAAAATTTCTCTAGTTTTATTTCATAATCTTCTATTTGTTTTTCTTCCAGTCACAAAAGAAATTTTACATGGTGTTAATGGAGTTTTTCGTTCTGGAGAACTCACAGCTATTATGGGGCCATCAGGGGCAGGAAAAAGTACATTATTAAATGCTGTCAGTGGTTTTATGTAAGTGTTTTACTAAAAATACTTTTAAAATAAAAATTTTTTAATTTATTTTTAAGTGATGCTAAAATTAATCATTAATAGAGAAACATAAATTCTACAAAAAATTAGCTTTTAATCACATTATATTTTCATGTAAGATTTTGAAAGTGCAAATGAGAATTTAATGAATTTGTTTTTTTATGATTCTACTTTAGTTATTACTTAAACACTTATTTTTATTACATTTCCTCTTAATGATTTTTGTACAATTTAATGTAGAAAATTTCGTAATATTTTTCTTGACTTTTGCACGCGGTTTAATTATTTACATAAATTTTTTTCTTATATAAGTATAACACTTTCAAACTTTACTGTCAAAAACTGTTTTTAGTTGTGTTTACACGATGATTCATTCATCAATTATTGAAATACGCTTTATTTTGGCAGCGTCGACAAAATAAAAATTAGTTGAGCCTGAGAATATAATGAAACGTAATGTCAATCAGTGATGTATGAGTAGTCGTGTAAACGTAGCTTTTCTATGTAAGCTCATTTTTTGACATTTATGACAAACAAATTCGCAACAAATTTAAATTTATATTACACATTGTATGCACGTACTGTAAAAATTTTGTAAAATAATAATCCAAATTTGTTATTTTTAAATAGAGCAACTTGTGTTTCTGGAATAATTCAAGTAAATGGTGAACCAATATCAACACATAGTGATAGTTATAGAAAATTATCAGCTTATATACATCAAGATGATTTATTGAGGCCTGTTTTAACAACTGGTGAAACAATGATGATTGCAGCACATTTTAAATTGGGTTTTAAAGTTTCAAAGGAATATAAATTAACACTTGTTAAGAAAATCTTAATACTATTAGGATTAGAGAAACGTTTCAATACATTTACAGTAAAATTATCTGGTGGACAAAAGAAACGTTTAGCAATTGCATTAGAATTAATTAGTAATCCATCCGTTTTATATTTAGATGAACCTACAACGTAAGTACCTACATACAATATAGTAATTATACAATAATTTTTTTTAATTCCGTGAGTTATTTAGTATAATGTATTATCTTTGAATGTATCATCTCATGTTCTTTAAATAATTTGAGTTTTATAGTTTTTTAAGCGGAATTTTATGAGTGCTTTAACTGCAAACATTTACATTATGTACATACATACATATGTAGTTATTTGATTTTATAAACATTTAGAGTGTTGTAAAATTGGATTGTCAAGGAGAAATGAAAAATTTGGTATTTATTTATACGAAGTGAAAAAAAATGTGGCTGTAGGACTTTTACCGATAATTCTACGGGTAGCCATAGAAACACTTCTTTTCAAGTTGCGATACATAAGTTAAAAGCTAATTTTACGCCTGGATTAAATCATTAATTTCATCAAATTTGAATTAAATTCGATTTCACCAGAAGACAAAGTGGCAGCAGTAATGAGATATGCGAATTGACCCCCCCTACCTCTATTTAATCTAATCTATTTTACACATCATAAAGTTATCTTTATTTATTTTGTAAATGGTGAAATTTAATTTTAATTTTGATAAGAATACAAATTGTTTAACTCTTAAAAATTTTATATAAAATTTTATTAAACTGATGACTAATTTGAGTTGACCGACTAAAATAAGTTCAATTAAGGAATACGAGATAACCAAAATTTTTTCTCGTTTTTTTTTTTTTTAGAAATAATGTCGAGATAATATTGTGTTGATTTTTAACAAATCAATATTTTTTTTAAGTTTTCTACACGCTTTTTAGTTAGTCCTTATCATTATTGTCCATATTTCATTATTAAAAAAGTAAATATGAAAAGTAGTTTTGTTTAAATATGATTGTACATGACTATAATGCGCGCAATGCGTGTATGTGGAAAGAAGTTGATGAACTCTAAGTCCAAATTATTTTTATAGTTAATAAATATTAAAATGTATGTCTAAATATTTCAAAATACACGCTTATTTAGGTTATTTACGTTTCATATTAATAAAAATTATGTGGTTATAGGTCTGGTGTTATACGATAACCTTAAACATTTCACTCGAAAAGACGACAATCTTAATGTATAAATTGTTGCGAAGTCTTGATATACTTTTCTTTTTTTTGTAAATGAAACGTGAAACTTTGTATGAATTGATTAGATTTAAGAAATTTTATGAAATTAGAAATTATTAACGGAATTAGTAAGTATTACAAATTATGGTGTCATTAGACTTTTTGAATTGTAATTTTTCATAATCTTAATTTTGAGTCATTCTTATGATAATATACTTAGACGTCTTTTGAATTTTTTAAAATACAGAATATACTTACGAATTCAAGTTAAATGCACTTACGATTTGTAAGTTAAAAGAAAATTCGAATACATGGATAATTAAACGAGCGAAATATTAAAGTTTCCAATAAATTTACGTTGTCATTTTTATATGTATGAAATATGGGAAAACTTTATTATTTTTTATTACAATTACACTTTGAAATACGTGAAAACTTGCATGTACATATCTAGTTTCTCATAAAACATTGAACTAATGCCAAATAACTATTGTATATAATAAGTATTTTATTATATTATAGCAGGTGATTATTTCCGGGTGTGCCATTATTTATTATATATGTATATTGTATTTGAAAGCATTCGAAGGTGTTCAATATTGAAATTTTGGTAAAAAACAACTTGTCGTTTTCCATAATATTCTCTTCTTATATTAGAAAAAGCATATTTAGTACCGAAACCGTATTTAGTTATTTAATTTTATTAAAACTTTATTTAAAGAATTTTTGAGTTGAGTTGAAAATGAAAATATAAAGAAAAGCATTATAATTGCACTAACCTCTTTCTAATTATTTATAGTAAAATTTATTAAATAAACAAATAAATCTCAGTTGATTTTGTAGTTCGTGAAATGATACTTTTGTGATACAAGAATATGGTATTCAAGACGATAATTAGCTTATCAGGGGAAGTAAATTATGGCTTATGAAAATCAATGAAAAAGAGAATTCATGTATTAAACATACATACGCTGTAAAAACGGTTAGATAACATTAATGTGGGGTTAATCCAAAATATCACGAAGAACAAAAAATAATAATATCTTGTTGTTTGCGGAACAAGTTTGTCACGTGGAAAGAGTAGTGCCACATGAAGGATTGTATAACTATGAATATAGTAAAATAATAGAAATATGGTAAAGTGAAAAAAGTAGAGATGAATAGGCCTTAGAATATGGAGCTCTCAAAAAAATGTTGGAAGAACAATAGTCTTCGAACCGGAAAACAATATCAGTAAAACGAATGCAGCAAATTTTTTCACAAACACAAAAACGATTTCATTACAACTTACATTATAATAAAAGAGCAGTTTTAACAATTCATAAAATTTACATATATTCAAAAATCTCGAATGTGAAAATGTGATAAAAATATTTTCTTGAGCAACATTAAATTAAATCGTGACATTTTTAGACATGAATCACAAATAAATACTAAATGAAATGTTTTGTGTTTATAAATATTAAATACATAATATAAAAAAAAACATTTAAACAGACTCAAATTAAGTTGGTTAATATTTATCTAACAGGGAATAGAATGTTTGAATGGACAAATACTTATGCGCTTACAGTTAAATTATATACTTAATGCACTTAACTGCCAAACTATAAATAAAGCTAATCAAATTAATAAAATATTTCGCTTAATTTTAAACTAATTGCAAAAAAAATAAGTAGCTACCAAACTGTGGACCGTTCTTTGTTGTAATATGATTTTCAAACAATATAATTTTAAACTGCTTTACACAAGTCCTGTTCATTTTATACCTTAATCCGGCACTATTTCAGCAATATTTAAAAAATTTAAATTTTAAATTATGTATAGCTTTACTGATATCGTCTGCGACCTTTAAAAATTATTATAATAACAAGATTATTAATGATTTGTAATTTGATGTTAGTATAGCAATTATTTTAAAGGAACAAAATATTCAATGAAATAACAACAAAATATTAACATTATTATTTTTATAACAGACGGAAAATTAACTTTTAGTGATGAATGGTGATGATTACACAATTTATTTACAGTAAATGATGCATTTTGTTGATGAAGGGCATTTCGGAAATACTACGTAAACATATTGAATTTTTTTTTATTTTTACGGAAAACATAATATGACGTTGAATGTCAGTTTATTTTAATTTACATCTAGATTTTTAAAGATTTAAAATAAAGATTTGAAAAATTTACGTAAATAAAATACAATAATTTCAAGGAATAGTGGAATTTTAATGCCGGTATGGAAATGAATTGAAATTATTTTAATATTATAATGATTAAATATTGTTTGAATTGAAAAGATACCATGACTAAAATGGTTTTAAGTAAAAATCATGATAGAACCAAATTTTAAGGTATTGCATTTTCTGAAACTTAAACAAATGTAAAGATCTAAAGTAAAGCTCCTAGGGCTTATAACATTCTTTTTCTTTTGTCTGTTTTAGTATTTAAAATTTGAAAATAAAAATATTTTTTTAATTTTTGATAAATTTTAATTAGACACAAAATATTCATAATTAGATAATTTTTTTTCTTTTGTTTAACTTTTAACCAGTTTATGACCTTCATAATAAAAATTTAATATAAAAATCATTAAGATAGGTCAAATAACAGTTGAAAACATGTGCTATGCAGTCCAAATATAAACAAAAGAAATATGTAAACATTATTTTAGACTAGTTTTATATTTTTATATCGTATATTTTCATTCATTAAGTTAATAATAGTTGAGGGTTTTTAAGGTCAACATGTACAATAAGTGTGTCTGTTATTAAATCGAATAAAAATTTGACTAAAACTGTAATATACAGTAAATATCTGACTAAAATAAGTGTTTGAATTATGCAGCTTTTTTTTTTTAGAAAAGTTGCGCGAAAATTAGACTATAAATGCTTATTTTTGAATATTGTAGTGGTAAAAAATATTACAGCATGGATGGTTGGGGTAATAATTTTAAAAAATGTCTCAATACAGGGCAGCGTTTATTTCTACATCGGCCTAACATCAACTTCACTTTTTCAGCACGTAAACTTGTATTTGAGTTACCTTATAAAACAGCATCATATAAGACATCTATAAACCAGCACCATAAAAAACAGTTTGTTTTTCGTTTTCCAAGGAACTCAACGAAATTTGTTCCATCCCGGCTTTTACTGTAAATTAACAACCCATTCCAATATTTTTAAAAATACTTGTTTTTTTTTTGTCTAAAGTTCGAGTTTTTTGTATAATTTTTTTTTTATTATATGTACGCACGTTTTTCGGATATATGTATCAGGTATAATAACGGAACCAAGATCAGTTTATTTAAAAAGAATATTAACATTTATTGTATATATTTTTTGATATTTCTTTATTTTGCACACATTATTCGAAAATTTATGTTTAATTTGGAAAGTTTCTAGATAATTTTATAGAAATGGAATGTTTATACATTCACTTTTATAGAAAATTTGTTATATTCTAATTTTATTTCAATTTTTAATTTTAAATTAAAAAAAGAAAACTTATAAGATTTCTTCTTTTTATTTTCAGTGGGCTAGATTATTCATGTTGTATACAAGTTGTTTCATTACTAAAACGTTTGGCTAATGAAGGACGTACTATAATTTGTACGATACATCAACCTAGTGCTTTATTATTTGAAATGTTTGATAAATTGTATACTGTTGTATCTGGACATTGTATGTATCAAGGACGTGTTAGAGAATTAATACCATTTTTAAGAGAAATGGATTTAATTTGTCCTAATTATCATAATCCAGCTGATTTTCGTAAGTGATGATTTTGATTCATTTTCTATATATTCTTATTCTAAAGTTCGATATTTTTAATACTTAATTCAATTTTTTTAGTAATGGAAGTTGCAGTTGGAGAACATGATACAGATTTAGAAAAACTTATAAGAGCAGCAGATAAAAAGTATTATGAAGATTCAGATCTTTATGAATTGGATAAATTAAATAAATTAATATGTAATATTAAAATTAAAATAGAGAATTCTCAAAGTTATCCAGAAAATGAGAAATTGAATATTTTAAATGCAAAAAATTCAAATCACCAAAACAACATTGAATTAAGTGATAAAAAGAATGAAAATGAAAAAACTATTAATTCACCAGCTAACATTTTTATTCAATTCTTACTTCTTTTCCAAAGACAATTACTTTGTTATAAAAGAAATTATGTAAGTATGTATTTGTATATCTGTGGTAATAAGGCCAAATTGGTTAAGTCGCAAATTGAAATATTACAATATTTAAATCCTCAACATTAATTCGAAAATATATCACTTTTTCTTAATTTCGGAGTAGTTTTGCCTCATTGTCACAGATTTTCTACAGTTTTATTAGTAATTACTTTTGAAACAAATATTAATTAAAAATTTTGTTTTCTCTTCAATACAGTTTAGTTTATTTGCTAGAATTATATCACATGTGGTAGTAGGTTGTGTATTTGGTTATTTATATAGTAATGTGGGTCCCGGTGCTACAACAGTTCTTGGAAATTATGTATACATATATGGATCAGTTTTATTATTGGTTTATACAGGAAAAATGGCAGTTGTACTATCACGTAAGTGCTTTTATATATAAATATTTCTGATTTTCTTTTAGACAAATAACATATGTACATATCAAGTCGAAACCGTTCTAAAATTCGTTTATTAGCAAATAATGAGCTCCTAAATTGAAAAACTTCAATTCCTTTTTATGAGGTGTTCCCCGCTAATTTCAAAATTTTTTAAAAATATATTTTTTATATTAGACAGAATGATGATAGCACTATAACGCAAGAGCAAACATCTCCTTTTTTTTGTTTTAAATCAAAAACTGTTTGATTGTTAATATGAGTAATTAATTATGTTTGAATATTATACAATACATTGTGTAAATCTGAAATTGAAACCTTGATCATAAATAATTCTACGTTTTATTATAGTATGTACTTTATTTCGGTTTTGTAATCACTTTAATTGTAGAATTTTCAATTTTTTTTAATGTTATCATTTAAATATTACTTTGTCGTTAATTACTTTTAATATTTTATGAATATAATAGAGAGTTGAATGACACTTAAATTATAGGCGGGAATATGAAGGCATATTATTGTTTTTTTATTTTTTTTTAAATTATATTCCTTTATTAAATTGATTAAAATAATCAGAATTTTATAACCATTATTGTAGGTTTACCCAACTTAAATTATGTGAAATTTAATCAGATTTTAAAAATTAAATTTTTTCGTTCAAGATATGCGAATTACGCATACAAAAAATATTGTTATTCTGTTGAACAAAGTATGTTTAATAAATTCTCAAGTAATTTTTAATGCATTTTGAGAGTTCCATATAGCTTCTTGATTTGAACTTAATTTAATTATAAGAATTTTTTAAATGATTAGCTTTACATTAATATTTAAATTCTTTTACAGTCTGCAGTATACCTATAATATTCGTGTACTATAATTTTTAAATATTTAAAAAAAAAAATAAAAATTTTTTGTAATTTTAGTTAAATCTGAATTCTAGACGAGGAGAATTGTGTCAAGAACATTTTAATATGAATTTGTATTAAAAAGAATGGCAATTTTAAGCTTTTTTTTTATGAAAAGAACAAACAAGTTTTTTTCGCTTTTTGGTTAAAGGTAGTTTTAACCAAAAGGCATGATCATGTTTTGTTATGGTTATAATGAAATAAAAAGAAAAAACTTAATTTATAATTAATGTAAAGATGTTAAATTTAAAGTTGTTGTATGCCTAAAATATTTTTTTTTGAAAAAAAAAATCTGAAAGCCACAAAAAAAAAACTTGTTCTTTTAGCTTGAATTTTTTTTTTTGGTTTTTCTTTTTTGCTTTCATAAAATAAATAATGAACGCATTAAATTTATTATATCCACATATTTATAAATTAAGAACAAGTTCTGAAAAATGTTCTTTAGCAAATCTTGTATTTTAATTTGCAAACATAAAGGATTTTTAACTCTTTTTACACTAGTAAGGAATATCCTTTAGATACAAGTGCGGTATACGTGACTTTTATCATGATATTAAAATTTATGATTATAGAATTTAAAAAAATTAAAAGAAAAATTTAAATTAAAAAAATGTAATTGCATTTTTTCATAAAGACTTATGGGTATCTTGCAATATCGTGTATATTAACTTGATAATATGAATATGCACTTTATAAATTTTTGAATATTCAGAAGATTTCGAGCATATCAGATAAATTTTAGAATATTTTGAACAATTGTTTCATTTTTGTACGACAGTATACAAGAGTGTTTTGTATGGACTATTATCCGGTAAGGAATAAAAAAAAAACAATTTTGATTTAAACAGTGTTGCTTCTTGGACAAAATTATTTATTTCTCTATCATTGCAACGAATCTAAAGTGTTTATTGCGTTGACTTTTTCCTTCGTAAAAAAAAACGTTTAAAATATTCTGATAAATAATTCACAGATTTTAATAGACTTACATGCTATGTCTGCTATGTGTATATTCGTATATAATTTCGTATTTTGATTTATGATTGCCTTTACGAAAATCATATTGATTTTCCAGTCAATTTTTCCAGCAATTTTTATTATATCCATACGTATACATTTATGTATGTATATAATAATTTTAATTTTTAAATGCAAATTATAAAATAAAATTCTTCAAACTATCATATTCAATTATTTTAATTTAAAATTCAATAGAAAACGTTTATACATAAATTAAAATTTTATTTTATATATAGAGTGAGAAAATTGTAATTTTAATAATCACATGTAGTTATTAAAACTGTTATTAATATCAATAAAGATTATTAAGAAAAAAAAATTTAAATGCAGTATTATTAATGAAACATGTGCACTTCATATGTTTCTAAAATTAGATCAATTATAAGAAGTTTCTCTGTTATGACTTTCTATATATACATACTTATATTAAACATGACTATAGCCTATACCAATACTTTTATCATTGTAATGGTTTTGAAATATTTAGTCACGTGGATCTCTTATGCTTTGTTTCTGTTTCGATCAGTTCTCTCAACATTATAATTTAGGAAATTTGTTTTATTAAAGTAATTATGCACATACGTATGTATATAATTAGAGTTTATTTGAACACATGCTTTTTACTAACATGTGCTTTTATTACCCTGAGTAAGAAGTTTAAATACCGGTTGTCTTTTCAATAAATTTTTTGCTTAAAAATTCTTTTGACGGCAAAATAATGTTCCAACAATTATTGACAATAATTGTCAAAGATTTACAATGTAATAAAATTATAATTTTCTTTTATATTTAAAATAAAAATGGGTTTTCATTGATCTTTAAGGTATTGTTAGTTATTTTGAAATTCAATTACTTTATTAATCTCCTAGTACGAGTATATTTGCTCATATTTCAATTTCATTTAATGCATGTATGTATGTACATATATATGATTCGTAAATCAAGTAGTAGAATTCAAAAATGTGGAAATTTTGTCATTATAGTCAAGATTAATTAAGACAGTAAAATTCATAAAATTATGAATTTATTGGATGTGAATTTTAAAATAAATTAATAAATTTATTATTGAGAAAATTGATAAAGATATTTAATATATTGAGTCAGATACGTATTTCCCTAAAATAGACAAGTAATTTTTGAGAGAATTTTCAAGAAGATAATTTTGATTAACAAATATAAACAATCGAACTTACTTAATTTTTATAAGGAGGTAATACGGGCAAATATGACATTTCAATGACGTTTCATAACATAAATTCATTTTTTCCAATTATAAACTTTAGAAGTACCAAGTGGGTAGTCCAAAAAAAATGAAGAAATTTGACAGATATTGTGTTTTTTTTTTTTTATATCGCATACTCTTATTAATCGCAGATTACAGTAACTTTGCAATACATAACTAGATTATGTTCATACATGCATATAATGTCTTAGTATAATAAATTTGTTTTTAAATTTAATTTAATTATAATATAAAATTTAATTTATTTTTAATTTTTATTTTAGTTCCGCTTGAAATGAAGATGCTGAGTAGAGAACATTTTAATCGATGGTATAAAGTTGGACCATATTATTTATCATTAATATTATTCGAAATACCATTTCAGGTAATTATAAATTATGAAATTTAGTAAACAAGTTCTAAGCTACTATAAAAAATTTTTAATCTGTTATACTAGTGTTAGTTCATAAAGTATAAAGTAAAAGTAAAACAAGAATTCAATAATAAATTTAATGAAGAGAAGGACGGAATTTCTAATTGTCATAAATTATTTTCTTGTTTTTTTTTTTTGGCATTCGTGTTTTGTTATTTTATACTTAATAATATGTACCTTGTTTAATATACCTAATTATAATAAAAATAGCAGAAGAAATTCATTTTAAGAAACAATTGTATATTTGTCAAAATAAAAATTTGATAAAAACGTCATATAACGTCTTGAGTCTGTAATGAGTGAAAAATGTACTCAAACTTTTATGAAGAATATTGTAAAAAATATTACATAAATAAAATGACAATGAAGCAAAGAAATGTCAAATGAAAAGTTTAATTTAAAACAAGAAACTTCAATCAAATTGACAACTCCTATAATAACCTTATGCTTTAGTTGTTCAACTATACAATAATTCTAGCTTTTATCCTAATTAAAAATTCTTTTTGTTTCTTTTTGAATCGGATATCGAAAATTATACAAGAATTTTATAATATCATCTTTAAACATTGTAAATATTGTAGCAAAATAAGTATTTTCAATAATAATAATAATAACAATAGGGGTAGCTTTAAAACTGGTTTTAAATAATTTTTAATAATTTCTTTGTTTTTCTTTTGACCTTCAAGTTGTTTGATTGTGCTTAAAATATTGTATATTTGTTCCGGTTACTATTTTATACATACATTCATATTTCTAAAATAAAGTACATCTTTGGGTATACTACATGTGTATATTTAAAAATCTTGAAATTTCAACACGCATATCTATGCAAATCACAAATTCAAATATGAATCATAAATAATTATTTTCTTGTATATATTGGCTTTTATATTATTTTTATACTTATTTACAAGATATTTGTATTGTACATTGTGTATTAAGAGCTATCGTCAGCTGTTTAAAAGATATTGATTGAAAGCGAATAAATGATATGCTTAAAAAATTTCCATTTCATTTCACTTTCGTTTTCGTTAAAAAATTCCATTTATTATATTAATTTATGTAGATTTTGTTTGTGAACATTTCTTAATATGCCTATGTTTACAGTATCATCTTCATTATTTTGTTACTCGCCACACACTATACAATGATGTAAAGAAATGATGAGTGAATAGTGACGTTTTTTTATTACGGTATAATGTAAATAGGTATAGGTACTTGTATTTTATAGTTAGACCTTGGTTTTAAATATACATACTTATGCATATTAAAATTATCAATTAAATTATTGGAAGGACATTCATCTTTCAATCATCATAATCACAAAAATAATATTATTATATTTTACAGACATAATAAAAGATTACGATGAAGATTATTTGGAGACTATTAATCATAGACTTTTAAACAAGTTTTCTCTTTTATTGAATTATCAATGAAAAAAATGCAGTAATTTCTTATATATTATTATGAATTATTTATTTTATAAAAATAAAATATGTACGTGGCGCGTTTTTATACAATATTGTATTCATGAATACAAAGTGAAATTCACGAGACTTTTATATATAATTTATAACATTTTATTATTATAATTTGTTATATGTTATATGTTATATATGAACATATCATTGTATATAATATATAGTTATGCATTCATAATAATTATAGTGCATAATTTATACAAAGAGAGGATTATGAATAAATTTAAATCCATAGTGTGAACAGAATTTTTTAGGCAGCAAAATCCGACTAAAAACTTTTTGCTAAATATTGATTTAACATTTTATGTTGCGAATTTGCAATATTCACAATATTGTTATTATTTGACATTACAGTTGGGATTTACGGTAGTAAATCATTGAACATTAAGTTTTCCTTACATTTCTCTCTCTTATTTCTTCGTTAAATTGCATATATTTCGTGCATTTTTTGGCAAATTGAAAACAGCACACTGCATAAAGGAATAGTTGACGTTGAGTAGCAATATAAAAGCTCTTAATTTGATTTTAAAATTGATGGTACTTCATTCGATGTGTATATTAGCAAATTTTGAATTGCACTTTTGCATTATGATTACATTTATTGATTTAATTTTAAATATCACATATTTACACTTATTTTCACAATAAAATAAAAAAAAACGAAAAATATGAAAATAAAGAAAGCCAAATTTAGCACTATAAGAAAGCGAAATACTGGTCACAATTTGTTTCGTTAAAGAATTATAAAAAATTTATTTGAAGTAAAAACTTTTTTTCAGCAAAAATACTTTTTTCTATTGCATGTGCAAAAATAACCTTTAATCGCTGTTGACTTATTATTAGTTACCAAACTTACAATTTGTATAGGTAAAAATAATAATAATTGGGCATTGACATTGATTTTGTATAAAAAAAAAAATCCTGTTTTAAATTACGACCTACAATTTATTGATAAGTTGTCGTGATAACAATTGAAACAAGTGAGATAAAAATTTGTTATTATTTATAAAAAGCTTTGTAATTTTTATAAAAAGCTGAACGATCTATTAAAAATTATAAGCAGTATTGATTTTTGAGAGCGAACAAGAAAAAGCTTTTATTTATTTCATTACATACTAGTGCGTATACACAGTGTAATTAAAAAAAAAGTGAAGGGAACAATTATTCGAAAGTTGATAGTTCGAAAATTTTTTTATGTTTTTTAATTTTCTGTTCAATGTGTCTAATTTAAAGTATATTTTAATGTTAAATTAATTATAGAAATTAAGGTAACTGAATTTGTTATATTAGTTGAAAGAAGTGTAGTTATAATTATTCCGGTAGATGGCTTTGCATTTTTTTGTATAGAAAATAAGTGTTAAATCTTTTATTTCCGTTTCATGTTGAAACTGTTCATGATATCATATGCTTAGTCTGTAAATGGAAAGCTATTTTGCAGTATATAAATAAAATATAATGTAATTATGCTCCAGTTTTGTCTACTAATGTCATGAGTAGTTTGAATATGTTAATAGACCAAGTAAATATTTAACATACAACATTAAGTATGTACGTTAGTTTTTAATGTTATTTTAAAAGCAATTCAAGCGGCGATAATCCTGAAGAAGGGCTAAAATATTTTTCATTTTAATGTGACAAGAAATAGAAGAATTTCTTAATGATATTTAATTATTATTCGATAATTTAACGTTTATTTCTTATATAGTTACATATACCTACCTTAAGACACTATATATTTTTAAAAATATTTAAAATTAATAGCTATAAAATTTTTTTTCTTTCTTTTTAGGCGATATGTACTTTGTGTTATGTATTAATCACATATTATTTAACTGGGAATACAGAAACTGATGCATTCAGATTGTATTATTTTTCAATATTAGCAATTCTTGTATCTTTGAGTGCTCAATCATGGGGTTTCTTTGTTGGTGCTACCATGCCAACTAAGGTAATTTTTATTTTATATTTATTACAGAAATAATCAGAAAATATATAAATTTTTATTTCGTTGTACTTAGCCACACAGCCATATGTACAAATACATAGTAGTGTGACTAAAATTATATTTTTTATTATATTTATTCTTATTTTATATCCATGAACTTGAGCATTGACCACGATTATGAAAAATAAAAATTTATTTTAATTGTATTTTTTTTTTTTTTAATTTTTTTTTTATAAACAGCTTAGTGTTGAATAATTTGTAAAAGTATTGTTGAATTTTAATGAAATAATTTCAGTATAATTTTTTTCGACTTGAAAATGTTGATTTTGTTTTAATTTTAAATATTTGCTAGTTAGATTAATCGGAAAATAAAAAGTAAAATAAAATATAAAACCTTTAAATTTTAATGAAAATTAATTTGAAAGATTAAAATATTTTTTGTTTTTATAATGAATTATTAACTATTGTACAATTTGAATAATATTGATTCACTTATAATTGATTAATAAGTAATAATACTTGTGTATTTACCATATTAAAATCCATTTACATTTAAATTTAAATTAAAATTTTATTGAGTTATTTTATGTGTTAAATTAATTGCAATACAGAGATCTAATCACGCAAAGTATGATATTAAAAATTTTAATGTCAGTAATTAACGCTGCTATTAATCAAGTATAAAAATAGTTTTGATTATATTGACGGTGAAAAACTTTTGCTGCAATACGAGTGAAAGCGACGATAATCTGATTAATTAAGTTAACAATTGTAAAATTTCATTTGGTTACTCTTCATAAAATTATAGTGATATTTCGTTCGTTTGTTTTCTTTTAAAATATTTTTCTTTAAAAATTGTATTTAATTTCTTTAAATTTGTAAATTTAAACTTTGAAATTTTTTATTTCTTATCAGTTTCATACTAGGATATCGTTATTTAGCGTGGTCAAAGCTCAAACAAGAATGTACGAAACAATTCAACAAAAAATATTAATAATTATAAAATTAAAATATTGTAATATAATCATTTTTATAATTTCCAAAGATTAAATTGCAATATTTAAGTTCAAAATGGTAGCAAAATATTTAAGTTCAAAATACGGGCATTTACCAAAATGCAGTAATATAATTTTAAATGCAGTAATATAATATATCTGATTTCTTCAGTAATATAATTTAAATTACTGAATAAATGAAATAAACGTTAGATCTGCATTTTTCTAGGCGCCCCAATTTTAATTATAAATATTTTAATAATATTAGTAAATTTAAAAATCCGTCGAATATGTGCTATAGATACGCTATTTAGCATAGCACACATATAAGCTAAATCGTTTTATATAAACGCATCAATGCACTTTTATATTTATTCAGCGATTCATATATAAATGCAATAGTCAAGAATAAACTCCAACAAAATTATAGAAATCAATAAAATATAATAAAAAATAAATTTTAGACTATTTTTGTTACATTTTGAAAAGACCCCATATTTTTTGCATACTTTTAGGAGAAGATTTTTTTTTTTTGTCAACAAATGTCAATATGTAGTAGGAAATTTAAAAAAAATAATTTCAAGAAAATTTTATTGCATATCGTATGTATGAACCTCTTTATGAGCACATTATTATATACATAGATCTGGTTTTATCAACAACGAATAAATTTAATTCAATGATTTAATAATTTAATGGTTATAATTAAATGGTACAACACTTTATACATTATTTTAAACATATTGAAAATTAAAAATTTATTGTATACATATGTACTTTCCTCATAATTTATTAATCTCAATTTTTTCAAATTTTAGATTGCTGTTTTTATTGGTCCAATATTGGCAGTTTTATTTTCTGTATTTGGTTTTTGTACAAGATATATTGATATTACACCAATGTTAAGATGGATGTGGCATTTAAGTTATTTTCGTTTTGGTTTTCATGGAATATTAAATGTTGTTTATGGAATGAATAGAGGATTATTAAATTGTCCAAAACAAGAAGTTTATTGTCATTTTAAACATCCAAAAATATTTTTAGAATATATGATGATACAAGATGTTACAATGGAATATGCAATGTCAATGATGGCAGCTGTTATTCTAGTCATGCATTTCTTGACAATAATTGTTATTTGGTACAAATTGACTAAAAGATAAATTATTAAAAAAAGAAAAATAAAAAATAATGTATCTTTAATTTTATATAAGAAACAAAAATTATTTTTAGTTAAAGTATAGTTATAATAAATATTAAAAATGTATTAGTTAATTAAGTTAGTAAATATTTATATATTTGAAACAGCAAATAGTATTCTTTTAAATAAATGCACTCTAATATAATATGTACATAATAAATCCTTTATGTTAATTAAATTGTGTTGAGAGGAAAACTTTTCCTTGAAATATCTTTATTGCAGTAGTGCATTTATTAAAAAAAATGAATATTTTGCTTGAAATTGTGTTATATCTAATGTATAATAATATTTCAGTAAATATAAAAGTAGATATAATAAAATTTATTAATGTTGACAATTAAAAATTATATTACAAAAATTTAGCGGACAAGATGAATGAAATATTTTAATATTACACTTACATATTATTTTTGTAATTCAAAAAGCGATATTTATAGGATTTAAAAAATTTTATATAATGATAAAAATTAATAGTTTCAAATCATAAACGATTATACTCATATTTTTAATAAGAAGTTTGATCTTAATTTTTTTTTAAATAATTTCATAGTTGTTATATTATATAAAATTAATTTGAATTGAAATTTCTTTGAAAGAAAACAATTTTTGTTTTAATTAAAATCATCTAATATTTAGGTTTATTTTTAATCGGAAATTTTATTTATTTTTAATTTTCTTTAAATTAAAAATTAAATTTTTTTAATAAAGGTATACACTATATGTATAATGTTACCTTTAAGTAGGAACTGATAATTTCTATTAAAATATAATTAAAAATTAATTTAAATTATATTAGAAAATATTGGAAAAACAGAACCTGTGAAAAAGATTTTTACAAATATATTTAAATAATCTAGGTTTTAATGTATATTTGGTATAAAATATTTTGGAAAATTTATAAAAAACAATTTTTTTTTTTAAATAAGAAAATGGTTTTAATATTTGAAGAAAAACTTTGCTATTCCTTATATTACTTTTTTTCTGTTTTGTATGATTTGTAGAGGATTTGTTTTTTAAATAATAAATTATATGTTTCATTATAATAATAAATTACAATATTTTTTAAAAAATAGATACATGCATTGCGTTTTTAACTATATGAATTTAAAAATAGATATTATAATTAAATTTTTCACATTTTTTATTAAACATTTTTTAATTTAGCAATTTAGAAAAATTCGATTAGAAGCATTGGATTTTTTGTGAGGAAAATACATGTTACATTCTCGTCATTCTGTTTACATTACTAGTATATGTATAATTAAATTATTTAAAATTTTCAAGCCCTACACTTAAAATTTTCGATATGGTAATGATTTGCTGTTTTACAATTCAAACTAGTCTTTCAGGAAATATATTAATTTTTTATTACTTTAAGTAGTGTCAGAGGACTCCAAACTTTTCCTAAAATTCTGTTCTTGAGATTTGATTGAAGAACTCTGATTTAAATCTCTAAAATCAAAACAAAATTTAAAAAGAATTATAGTTTAGTATTAAATTTTTTGCGAATATTACATGGAATTATTGAATTATTGAAACATAGTCAATTTTATATACAAAATTTTATGCAAGTACTTACTTGAAATTTTACCTACTATGTTCATATTACCGAGTATGTACATAATTTATATTGTCAGTATGTACATATTTATATTATTATAAGGTTGCTTATTATTTTCACTTTTATGATTTTCTAATTTTTTGATTATAGGTTTGGCCTGGATTAAATGTACATCATAACACAACTTTTAGAATATTTTTCAGCAAAATTTGAGGTTACACTTGAACAAATGACATCGAACATTCGTATAGGAAAAGTTACTATTTCTGATAAGAAAATACTATTCTAGAAGAGGAAAACATTGATTATTAATTAATATATACAAATATATTAATAGACCAAAATATACACTATATTTATGTAAATAGGAATTAAATTACGTCAAAAAGCCAACAATGAAACTATTTGTTTGTTAATGAGGAAGTTCTTATATCAGCAATAATAGCGACTTAAAGCGAAAAAACTATTTTACAAAAATATTATATTTAATAACGCTATTGGTTTTTTTTTTAGAAATTACTTGACACATCTTTAATTTAATTGCAAAAAATATTTATTAAATATTTATGAGCTCGAGCATGAAAAAAGGAAACTATAATACTGTTTCAAAATATTCATACGAGTTCGTTTGAATTTGTATAAAACTTTATTTTCGAAAAATTTCCAAATAAATTCTGCAAAAGTAATAAAACACAAATTTAGGTAACCCTTAGATAGCCACATTTTCGGAAAGAGCAATTCCCGTCGAATTTTTTTCGTAGTCGTACGGAAATTTATTTTGTTTACGAACAATTTATAAGGGAATTTCAAAACCCAAAAAAATGTTCCGATTTTCCCTGACAGATTTAGCAAATTTTCCCGCGGAAGTTCCGCATAAATTCTAGCATAAATTTTAAAGTAATGACATCTACATAATGTAGGAACGTATTATGTATGTAAGTACATATATAACTCATTGTCGTAAATAGAAGAACTACTATGAAAAGATTTGAAAACGTAAATAAAAAAAATTAATCATCTTTGCAAGATTTACATAAGTTACATTTTATTGATATGGAAAAACTTGTGTTATATAATATATGTACATATCTACCTGTTATACTTACATATGTATGATTCATGAATACATACATATCTATATACATACATATATAATTTATTAAGCAAGTTGTTCCACTAATCAAAAATCAAACATTTCTTTGTTTCATATGTATGAATCTATGTACACAAAGTCAATGCTTTTCAGTTTTTTCGACTTTATGGCTATTTTTTGTCTCTTTTTCTAATATTATTCTTTTTAAAGCATGCTTAATATTAGGTAAATAACCTTTTGCTTGTGTATCATAATGTATATACATATGTATGTAGATATATATACATGAGAAAATAATATTTATGCTATATGCTGTATGCACAATAGTGTGCATTAAGATCGTGCAGATGAAAAACCTGTATAACATATGATTATAACGTTCACACTTACATAAAGGAAAACAACAATATAAGATATATATGTATGTATATTAAATTTATATATTACTAATAAGATATGTATTTGTATGTATATGTACATCTATTTTCTTAGCTAATATAGCTTTTCTTTCCGACTGATTTGAATAACACACTTAAATGTGCGTTATAGTAAAATATAAACTGTAAAATTTTCTTAAAATTTTCGCTTTAGATGAAATTGAGATTTTAATTGCTTAATTATTTTCTAACAAAAATATCGTAAAAGTGGAAAGCTTTTCTTAATCGTACATACATACATGTGTATGTACATATTAACTATAATGTATATTATACATTATTTACTTAGGTCTATATCAGTACAAATTCAAAGATAAAGAAAAAAAAATTCTAATATTAGCGTTAGAGATTTTAATTATTTGTAAAAAAAATAAATTTTTTTAAAAGAGATTTTTAATGAGTATGTACATACAACAAATAGTAAATAGCAAATCACACGCATTTGTTGATAACATAAGAATTAACGAACATGTATGTAAGAAAGTATGTAAGTATGTACAATAAAAAAAGCTTTAGCGTAAATTATTTTATTGGCATGATCGTACATAGGAATATTAAAGATGATTATAAGCAAATCCATATTTATACTTACATATGTATATTTATACTTACATATTATATAGTACATATGTGTGTGTGTATGCATACCAAATTTACATAAATTAATTTAGAATTTTTTTCTTTTTGAATAGAGGCACTTTTTTTACGCAAGTAATTAACTGTCTTCATATAAAATGTATGTGTATGTTCAAACACTTGTGTATAAAATTGCCTTATAGAATTTGAAATAAATGGGCCATGGCCACACGTGGGTATAGAATTAAAGTATGCATGTGTGTGTATGTACTTAAATCTATTATTTTATATTTTTATTAAAATAATTTCTAATTATGTACCTACATATGTACGAGTTCTCGCAAATGAAAGTGAAAAATCTATCAAAAAAAAAATAAAAACTTTTGACAGTAATTACGAATTTCTGTACTTCGAGTTTTAAACTCCTCTCCTATCTAGAATTCTGTTCGTAGCCCTAAAAGTTCAGAAAATTACCAATGTCATATTGTCAAATCTGAATTACTAAACTACTGCTCCAAATATTTGTTATAAAATAATCAAAAATTAGGTTCGTAGTCAAAATAGTTTTTACTCAAATACAATAAAAAAATATAACATTTGACAATTGAAATAAAATACCTATATACTGATTTTAATATTCTAAAAGAATAATGCTGCCATTGCTAATTCATAATCTCTACAAATGGAATTTGTAATCAATCAAAAGTCTGTGTAGGTCGTAGCTAAGTTTATAATTCGTAGATATCTATGAGTGGAATTCATGTTAATGTATGTATGTATTGAAATTCGAGATCTACATCATATTAAACGTACATACCTATATACATATGTATGTATATTTTGTCTTAACACTCACAATTATTGCTAAAATTTTTGTTCTTAATATCCGCAAATTCTTTAACGTCAAAATTTTGTTTTCAGTCTGCAAACTGTCTGACGTATAGAACTCTTTTACGGACAGAAATGTAGTAAACTTTTTACCCGTAATTGATTTTGAATTTTGATCATCCGTAAACGTCAAAACAAAAAAAATATTTTTTATATTATTTTTAACGTAATGATAGTCACTCAATACATCAAATTTATTTACTGAATTACTACGTTAGACTGTCTGCATATAAAAAAAAAAATCTACAATTTTGACGCTTAATTGACTTTTTTTAAACGTTTAAGAATTTAAACTTTGACTGAAAGTAAAAACGCAATAGAGTATTCGTAAACTAAGACAACTCAGAGTTTGTAAAATTTGACGTTTAAGAATTTACCATATGTCTATGATTGTAACACTCCCAAAAAATATTTTTAACACCGGAACTGGACCACCCTGTAGATTCAATCCAATTACTATTCAATTTCTTCTTTACGTTATATTAAAACAAAATTTATTGAATAAAATGAAAAGTTAGGAAAAACCTTATTTTTCTATTAAAATTTATAGTTATTTTTTTAAATTTAAAACACACATAAATACTTAAATGATTTCATATTTAATTATTTATTATTTTCAAGAAGATCAACCAGCTATCAACATGTTAATATTTTACTTGTAATAATATATGCATATGTATGTATGTACATATGTAATAAATATTTAATCATTTATTTTATTATATTTGATTATTATTTTAAAAATAATAATACATAACATTTATGTATGTATGTACCATTTTTAAATTATTAATTATACGTGCTGTTCATACATATGTACTTAATATATTATGTACATACATGTGTAATCTGTGTCATATATGTAGGTAGGTACTCTGAAATACAATTTTTAAATTAAAATATTTCCGCTACTGTTTATTTCTTGTAGTTCCTACAGAGAGTAAAAAATATATCTAGTTGAATAAAAAACACTTTTTTTTTGTTTTAAGTGCAATCCAGTTAAAATATTAATAATTTTTAGTATAATACTTTTAATATGGTAGGTAAGTATCTTTATACCTACCAAATGAAAAAAAACCAAAACAAAAATAAATTTAAAATAATATTAATAACAAATGTATGTTAGTATGTATGTATGCATGTACATACTTATAAAAGCTTTAAATTAATTACATACAAACGTACACTCCTTACTATAGTAAATGAGTTTTTATCAGTTGAAGGTATTAATAAAAGCCAATATGCATATTATGTACTTATGATCTATGATAAATCGCACCTCTAAAAGAATAGCAATATAGAAAAGTGTATTTGTTTCACGGTTATAAAATATTGGTAAAAATTCTTTTGTTATTAAAAAATTTTTGTTATTATTTAATTATTTTTTTTTTAAAGTGAAGTTAGTTTCCATTTCATTTATGAATATGTATATGTATGTACATATATAAAAATTAATGTATGTTCGAAAAGTTTTTAACAACGCGCGACATTTTATATGGTTATAAATAATATTTGAGTTCAATAATATTATAGATATTTTTTGCAATTAAAATTTTAATTTGAGTGTGTGTTTTTTGTGTAGCAATACTTTATAGAATATAATATAAATATAAGGGAAATTATAGAACTTTTAAATATTTTGTATATTTTTTATAATTCTAATTTAATCTTCCTATAAATTTTTTTAATAGAAATTTTTTTATTTAAATCCGTCTTTTAAAAGACATACATATAAAAAATAAATTTCGGATTCCTATAATGACTACAACTCTAGACGTAAAATCTTGAAACTTAAAACTCTGACTTTCGCTTTTAAATCGCGATTCTGATGCCGTGAAATTTGACTTTCCGTTTCCTAATTCTTGATTACCAAATTCTAACTTTGCTTCTATGAATCCAACTCCGCTTCGTGTATTTCGACTTTGTAACTTCGAATCGTTGATTCTGAGTCTTCGGCTATGATTCCACGGTTTCATTTTTATATCATCCTGCAATTTTTAAATTAATGAATTTCGGAATTTATACATACATAATATTTTCTATTCCAAATTGAATAAAATGAAATTCGTTATTATTTTATATTTTGTTTACTAACGAATTTCTTTATACCTACTGAGTGGGGGTGCTATATTAAAACATAATATATTTTTTTTTACAAATATAAAACATTTGTTTATATAAATATAATTTTTTTTTTTATTATATTGTAGGTACTTTATACTTTTGTACAAAAAACAAGAAAGAGTCCAAAAAAAAAAAATAAAAAATTTAAGTGATTAAATAAATATACAATAATATAAATATAAACACATATATATATATATATATATATATATATAACTGTATATACTTACATATAAATATATAAATATGCATGTTTACTATATTAGAGAATCAAAATATTAAACTCAAATTTTTTACATTAACACAGTATTCCGTTGAACTTCATTCAAATCGGTCGCATCGAATTAATAAAATAAAAAAGAAAAAAAAAAAAACAAAAAATAAAAAATAAGAGAAAATTAACAAAAAAAAATGTGAGAAATATTTTGTTACACCTTATCATATAATTATAAATATGTACAAATTTACGGACATACATATTTATATATAAATAAATTTAATAGAAATTTATAAGTAGAAGAGTGAATAATAACAAAAAACAACAAGAAAATAAAAAAGCTTTGAAATGTAAATGTCATTGTGCAGTTTTTTTTGTGTGTTTTAAAAGTAAATTTAGTTTTAAAACAAATTTTTCGTTTATTTTTTATCTTTTAGTTTAAAAATGATTAAAAAAAAAGAGCAATGATATTTCAAATTAATATTTACATACCCTCAAATCTATACAATTAAAATATTATGAATATATACAAACAACTACACAAATATTTTGTATTTTTGTAAAAAGAAAAAAAAATAATAAAATTAAAAACAAAGAAATTGCTATTTTGTACATATTTTTATTTTATTTATAAACAAAAAACAAGAAAACAAAATTTTTTTTTAATAAAATTTGTGTAAAAAATTTGTTAGAGAACCCAACCACACAAGAAATTGTAAGAAAAAAGCAAAGAGAAAAAAAATGTGCACAACAGGAAAAATTAAAAAAACAACAACAGAAATTGTTAATTTAAAAAAAAAAATATTTTTGTTTCTCATTTATTGATACGAGAGTATTTTGTAAATAAAAAATATTGTTGATATTTAAATATAAAAAAATAGTTGAAAAATATACACATATGTACATACAATTAAAAATAATGTTCAGTAATATTATTAATTATAATTAATTTTTATAATAAATTATAAAATAGAAATAAAATTGTAAGATGTGCGGAAAAAATTCAAAATTTTTTTAAGTAAAAATTCAAATGAAATCAAAAAAATAATACAATTAAAAAATTATAAATTAAATTTTAATTAAAATATACTATTTTTTAATAATGAAATTATTTAATTTAAAAAATTAATTATTAAATATAAATATTAATTATTTTGCAAGTATTTTATACGTAAATAAAAAATAGCAATATTTTAATTAATTAAACACCCTGAAATACAAATACAGCATATGTATTTATATAATAATCTAATAATATATAGGTAGTGTGTGTATAAGTGTATGTATACAATTTAATATATAAAAAAAAAAAAACATGACCGATTCAATAAAATATAATTGCGGAACAGAAATGATTAATCAAAAAATGAAAAAAACTAAAAGGCCAAATAACCTTCAATTAAAATTATCAACAAATTTAAATTCAACATATGATAATACGACGGCTACAACAACAATAACAACAACAACATCATCATCATCATATAATCCTTCAACTTCTGAAATAAATACAAAATCAAATTATACTAATGCATTACAAAATAATATCAAAGGTTTAGATATTACATTTAAAAATTTATGTTATACAACAAAAGTAGAATTTTGGAAAAAAGGTAAGTGTTACGAAAAATTATGTTTTTTTTTTATACCCGTACGAACGTATGTTCGAAGGGTATACTAAATTTGCCTTACCGTTTGTAACGCTAAAAAATAACGGTGTTAGATATAGACTCAAGTGTATGTTTTTGATCAGCGTCAAATTCTGAGTTGATTTAGCTTTGTCTGTCCGTCCGTCCGTCCGTCCGTCCGAACGATAACTCAAAAACTAATTGAGCTAAGTTCACCAAATTTTCACAAATGATTTATTGTAGTAAGTTCCAGAACCCTATTTAAATTGGACATGATCGGGGTACCGGTTCGGGTAGCTGCCATACAACTTCAAAATTTATTTGGCTTTATCTCAGAAACTATAAAAGTTGTGGTATTGAAATTTCACACAAACGAATATATTAGTAGGGCCAATGTGTCTCATAACAGTCGTTGAAATTACTTGGCTCCTTCTGGTACCTGCCATACAACTTCAAAAGTTATTTGACTATATTTCAGAAACTATTAAAGCTATGGTATTGAAATTTCACACAAACAAATTATTAGTAGGGCCAATGTGTCTTATAAAAGTCGTTGAAATTACTTGGCTCCTTCTGGTACCTGCCATACAACTTCATAAGTTATATCTCGTTTGTATATAAAATTACAATTGATAAAAGTGTTGCCGTTATAGAGTAAAAAAAATGCTAGTTTATATTTGCAAAATTTTCTATATGTATATATGCTTATATACTTTATAGAATATAGAAAATCAACTAGAATTAACAAAACAGTCCAATAATTTTAAAATGAAATTTGTACGATAAAAAGAGTCGTCTCATATGTCATCTCATATAAGAATAGAGAAATGAACACAGTTAAAAGCAAAAATAATAAAAAACTTGCCATTCTAATTTTAATTTCTCTAAAAAGTAAAAAAATTTTTTCTTCCTTTGTTATTAAACATATACTTATTTCATTACTAATTTCTTAAGAACAAGAGTCACCTTGAATTGTTGTATTAGTTTTTAACAACTTGCTTCTTACTTCTTGTAGCTGAAGTTTTAAAACCTTGTCTTGATATAGTGACAAAATTGTTAAAACGGCAATACTGATAACGGTGTAACATATAGCCACAGATTTTAACAATAATATCATTAATATCGATATGTTTATAGAAATAATATAAGTATGTAGTATATTTGCAAAGATTGCCCATCTGCATATTATTATGACAAAGAATTAAAAATTCAAAATTAAAATTAAAAATTAAAACGTTTGTGTGCATATGAATGTGATATGAATTCATAATTAATATAATTGATTAAAAAACATGTACATGTGTATATTGGTGTGTATATGTATTAATAATATATGATTTTATAATATCGATATTCGTATCTGTATGTATATAATGTAAGCGACAAATCCAATCATTCATACTTATTGTATTAAGCGTTTAAAAATGATTAGAAAAATTATTATGGATATTGATAATAATAATTTTAACCCTACTAGTTCTATATATACAAGTAATATATTAATTTAGATTATTATTTTAGTATATATATCTAAGTATATATATAAATGTGTCTATATATAGGAGTACAATATACGTAAATACTAAATGGCATTGTAAATTAATTTTTCTTTATAATTTTTTTTTTGTTTAATCTCATTTTTCATAGAATTTTTTTTGCAATAAAACTGTTATATAGATTTTTAATGAAAATTATAAATATTAACAATTGACTTATTTTATTTTACAAAATTATATTCAACTTATTGAAAATGTTGTCATGGTGTATATTCTGATAAGATGGTTACTTTATCAATTAAATATAATTCATATATTATGTGTATAACACTTATTACCAATTTAGATTTTAATATATGTATGTAATGTAAAAGATTAAGATTTTTATTATGATACTACAGTTATAATGTAATAATATTAATTGCTAATTTAAATAATAAATTTTATTTTTTAACAATTATAAAATGTCCTTATGGGCTTTATTTTATATTGGCACTTGAATACAATGTTGCAACAATATTATTAAGTGTTATACTGACATTTTTTTCGATATCATAAAATAATTATAAATTTCATTTAAATTTTATGATAACGCAATCTATTTTGCGTTAAAAATCTTCTTGATTATAATAAGTGCATACTTAATTATACGAGTAGTACATGTTAATTTTTTTAAAATCTACTCAGAGTTTAATATTTATTTTCTAATTATAAAAATGGTCTTACACATAACAGAATATACTTTATTACACGAGTACTCTATAAATATATGCACTTATACACTCTTTGAAATTACTGCAATAATTTTTATTGCAAGTGGACACAGTGTATTTATACATACATGTTATCTTAGGTGTAATTGCAATGGTTATTTCCGTTTACATGTAACTCAAATTCTAATAGATTTCCATCTTATGATAAAAACGGATGACTGTTTACATTTAAGTGTTATTAAAAACATGTACATGTACGTTTGAATTCTATATAAGAATTTTAAAATAATTCTTCCATTTTATTTCGTTATATAATTTTCGTTTTTGTAAATGAATACTCAATCAATTTGATGTTTTTTCGCCATATACGAAATTTATAATTATGGTTAAAAATTTCATGCAATTCTGGTTGCAGTATTCACCCACCCACAATTTGCAAAACTAGTTTTTGAATATGGTTTTTATTTTTATTTTTAACTATAGAACGTGTATACTCGTAGAATATTTACATATATAGAATTTTAATAACGAATAATACATATAAGTATTAAATTTTTTTTTGATTTTATTAATAAATGAGGTTAATGTTACAGCTGTAGAGAAGTATTTCTGTTACTTGTGTGAAAAATTACAAAAATTGTTTATTAGTTTCATTTTTCCCGTCCGTCTATTCTTGCGTTTCTTTGCAAAATTTCTACACCATTCAATATAGAAAGTTGACAATGGTTTTCTCTAGGAAAATTTTTTAAACCTCCTTCTCGCAGCAAGTAATTGACTCACGAAATCAGTAATATTTTATTTTACAGAACCTATATATATACATATATAGCCGAATCTGCAAACTTTTTCAATGTCTATAAAAAGAAAATTAACTTACTACCATCAAATTTGAGCTTCATATTAAAGCTTGATAGGCAATTCTTATACTTATTGGCTTGTTGTATCAATAAAAGGTATAAAATTCAACAAAGTTTAGCCACTCTCTACTAATAATTTTTCTCGAAATCAAATTTTTTTTTTTTTTTTTTTTCCTTCTTCACTCCTATAAGGAGCATAGGGCTAGTTCATGATATCTATCATGTCCTAGTTTCTATAGTCATAGAGAGTTAGCTAGGTAGGTGACTAGGCTACCGTAGTTTTTATTTATATTAAATATTTCCGTTTATTAATATTTTACTGCTTATTTTTCTTAGCCTTTTTAGTATCGCATATTATGAATATTTGAAAATTACTTGTATAAATTTATTAATATTGCATATTAAGTTGTATAATATTGAATATAATTTTTATAGTGACCTGACCGGGGTTTGAACCCTAGACCCTTCGGTTAAAGGGCCGGTGCCATAACCACTGCACCAATGGTCAGATTCTCGAAATCAAATAAATGGGCCAAACTAATAAAATATGTTCACGATGTGAAAAATCGATCGTTTAAAAAGGTTTCAGTGATCAAATTACTGTACCTCTTAGACAATACACTAAAGTTGTTTACAAAGTTTGACATGAAATTATTTTTATTCAATATTAATGCGAATTTGTAGAACTACGTTTTTTAATCATATGTACATGAAATGTTAAATAAAGAGTTTAAATAATTTTAACATTTACGCTTTGTTTACATCAAGTACAACAGATTATGTTAATAACAATTTTGCATTCTATATTTAGACAAAGAGTTGCATTTTACGTTTCATATTGTATTATGTTAGCATTTTTGCAATTAAATGGGAAATTGAATATGATTTGTTTATTGTACGACAATAATTTATAAACTGATAATGTTATAACAAATAAATACATTGGTATTTTTTTTTTTTACATAAGATTAGAACAAAGTCATTTTGAGATAAAGAATTATTTTTGTATTATTTTCTATTTAATTTTGTTCGGTATTATATTCAAACATGTATAAATATATTATGTACATAATATTGCACAAAAATGATAGTATAACTTCCATGTAATGTGTATAGTATGTAGAATACAGGCTGTTTTATAAGAATATATTGTCATAGGTTATATATTTTTTTCTCATTTTGAAATATTTATATTGAATTAATGGTAGTAAATTGGGACTATTTTTTTTTATAAAATATTGATACTAAAAATTAATGGTTCTAAAGTATAGAATCTGTTGATAGTATACAATTTGTTTATACTTAGTATGATATACTTATATAGATTGAGTTTATTAATTATTGCCAAATTTCATATTAATGTGACAAAAATCTTTGAATTTCATTTGAAATTTTTGTGTGCTTTTGTCAATTAAAAAAAGACTATCGAGATTTTTTTATAGAATTTGTTTCATTCGAGATGGATACTATTTTATAATTATAAAACAATTAATATGTTATGAAGAAGAGTCAATAATTTTAAGAGCTTGAATAATCAAAATTTTTTCAAAAGTTTTTATTTAACTTTCAATGAGTTTATTGCTCAAATATTTAATGTAGACTCAAAAACTGGTTTTTATAAATTAAAATGTTCATTAAATGTCTGAATTATTGATAAAATATTTTTTTTATAATCTTCTCCTCAATGCGCATATTACCTAAAATACTTTTAGAACGACACAATATGTCAGAATATTATTATATTATGAATATGTCCTAATGTCGAAAAATCTTTTAAATTTATTTAATTTTTTTAATATTTCTTTCCCGGTTATTAAATTTTTTAAGTCATTAATTAAATTGTTGTTTTAATTTTTTTTGTTTTTTTTTTAAGAAAAATAAATGTAAATGACATTAGAATTTTTAATTTCATCTGTATG